TTCATCATTTCTTTTTTCCCGATTCTGAACCGTCCACTTGTTCTTCATTTCTTTTCCTTTTGATTTCCTGCTCCCCAAGAGGCTGCTATTGTGGGGAGATGGGAAAATGAGGCAGTGGGGATGAAGTAGCTTGAGCTGAAGCCTGCAGTCCTGCACTGCCCTAATGCCCTTTATAATTTTAACAGATTTGAGACTATGTGTGTTATGTAATAGTAGAACTTAAGTAGACTGCTATCTGCACTATTATTTATTTATTAAACAAATACTAAGACGTACTGTATCTGCTTATTCGGTTTTTTCTGGGAACAATGCCATATCGGTGTATCTGTAACATCCCAATATCCGTATCTGTATCCGTGCTGCTCAGGCACAGACATTCACTGACTATTGTCTCCTTATCGCATTGGGAACAGGACATAACAGTGGAACAAGAGTGAACGAAGAAGCATAGAAAGGAAGACAATATGCCAAAGAAGGGGACTAAATCTAAGAAGGAGGTGGATAATGTTCCCAATCAACAAGAAAATAAGCTTCCAGACTACCTGGAACTCCAGCGCACACGTGTTGTCTGCAATGCTGATGCCCCCCATTCATGTACACATTTTTATGCTACTTTTCTTTCATGTTCACGTGTTGTCTGCAATGCTGATGCCCCCCCCCCATTCATGAACACACATTTTATGCTACTCTTCTTTCATGTCTTTGCATTTGTTACTCATGATCACCTGCATGACTAGCTTTGCACATGTTTTGTGGTGAAATTGTCTGCTTGATATATTCAGTGATTTTCGCATGAATTTAGTGTGCTGATAACTTTATCTTGCATAGGAACTTAGTTTCACATAGATGCATAGATGTTTTGACATTATGCGTTTAATTGATTACTTCACTGAACACGGAAAATTAATTTGTTTTTCACCATGAAGTTTGTGTGCTATTTTTCTTCTGATAAAGGATCGAACAAGTTACTTGATCTTTTTTTTTCTCTATCTTGTTAAGTGCAGTATTGAATTTGCTGCTATGCACACAAATTCTCTGTGAAAATAATCATTTTCATTCTTACTGATATTTTAAGCTTGATTTTTTTTTGTCTTGTTGAAATTTATTCCTTGAATACGTGCTAGAAATTGTTTGTATTTGTTTTGCTTTATTATTTTTGTGAAATAATTTCCTCTTTATTGATATGAACTTCATTCATTTCTATTATTGGTCTCATATATTACATTTTATGTTTCTCTTGTATGTTTAAAAGACTCAAGGGATCCAACACTCGGGTGCATTTGCTGCTATGGGAGTTGATAATAGCGTGTCAGTGGAGAAGTTTTGCAAAAACTTCAAAATTGAAATAAATCGTCTCACTGAAGATGATATGGAGTTTGATATGATTGGTATTGATGCATCAATAGCTAATGCATTCCGAAGAATCCTCATCGCAGAGGTATTTGCATGTTTTCATGTGTACGATAAGATATCCAAGAACTTTCTTCTTTATTTTAGCACTTCATATGTATCGGAGTTCTGTATCAATAAGTGCTTAATTTAATACTTCCTCTGAACTAGCAGGTTCCTACTATGGCAATTGAGAAAATATTCATGGTTGACAACACCTCAGTTATAGCAGATGAGGTTCTTTCACATAGACTAGGACTTATTCCACTTCATGCAGATCCAAGGCTTTTTGATTATATCTCAGGTAAATAACTTCAATTGCTCTAGCTTCACCTATACATTTAACACAAGAGCCATCCTATTGTTCCTTTCTATTTTCACAGAAAATGATGTCCCAAATGAAAGGAATACTATTGTTTATAAACTGCATGTTTCATGTCCAAAGGGTTCTCAATGAATTACAGGTATGTCCTTATCTTCCTGCAATGTCTGCTGGGTACATATTCCTGTCATCTTTCAAAATGAAATTCCATGCCCCATGTTGCCTTATTGGAAGAATATCTCATTGTTCAAATTGGAAAGCACAGTTAAACTCATCTGTACTTATGTGACATGTAATAAACGATTTACTAAGTGTACTGTAGTGACAAGTTAAACTTTCCATTTGTAGTTTCCTTGTTAATGGGTTTTGCTTACCTCAAGTTGGCATCTTACGCACTCTGTCATTAAATAATTGTTGCTAAAAGAAAAAAAAAACTGTGGTAGTTGAAATATGATCCTTTGCCTCCTTATATTTCTCTTTTCTTGTCAGCATAAATCAGATTTCCGGAGAAGGATGGTTGAGATTTTCTAGTAGTGTAACTTGTAAGTGTTAACTGCTTGGTTGTCTGTGACAGTGAAATCTAGTGAACTAGAGTGGCTACCAGAAGGTAGCCAATTAAGCATGGCAGCCCCTGCGCAGTCTGGGGACAAACAGAAGACTTTCACTTCCTTCAGTCAAAGCCAAAAGGAGATCTTAGAAAAGCCTCTTGGTGTGAAGTTTAAAGATATTACTATTGCCAGGCTTGGGCCAGGACAGGTAGCTGTGTGACTTGTTTTCTTGGCACCGTTGTGATATGACTAGGTGTACCTACATCTTTTGCACTTCTTGATTCAATATTTTGATTAAGATACTTTGTTGCATGAATGAGTCCACATGGTAAAAATGGAGTCCAGTGGAAATTGCGGAGTTTTAATGTATGCAGCCAATAGCTTTTTCACGAACAGCTTCCTTAACTCATATCATAGAAATAAACTATGTTGGTGATTTGAATTCATTGTGTGACTTTGTGTGCATGCCAGATTTAAAATTTGTAAAGATAATTTGTCCATTATACCAGTTATTTTTTCTCTAAGAATCATTTCCATTGGGGTAATTGTACTTTGTAATTTAATTTGTTCTTTTATAGGCTATTGAGCTCGAGGCACATGCTGTTAAGGGAGTTGGGAAAGTTCATGCCAAGTGGTCTCCAGTTGCTACAGCCTGGTACAGAATGCTCCCTGAGGTAAAATTGTTTAACTAGCACATTTACAACAAGATGGTGAATAACTGTATCCATTGCTTGTGTCCTGATTCTATATTGTTATATTATCATGTAGGTTGTTATTCTCAAAGAAATTGAAGGTGATGATGCAGAGGAGCTAGTAAAGAAGTGCCCAGTTAATGTTTTTGACATTGAAGACCTGGGTAATGGTAATTTCTCTTTACAACAACAACAACAACAACAACAAAGCCTGTCTGTCCCAAACAAGTTGGGGTAGGCTAGAGTTGAAACCCACCAAGAGCCCACGGTTTAGGCACATCAATAGCTGCTTTCCAAGCACTCCTATTCAAACATAGATCTCTAGGTATATCCCAAGCTTTCAAATATCTTTTTATTGCCTCCCCACATGTCAATTTCGGTCTACCTCTACCTCTCCTCACATTATTAGCTTGGCTTAGGACTCCACAATGCACTGGAGTAATTTATCTTTCCCTTTCTTTTTTTAAGAGGCTGAACTTGAGGTAGCAAAGGGTGTCAGAGACTCAGTATTTAGCTTTGGTAGCAATCAGCAAGATCTTATATATTGATTGTTGGAGCAAGTTGATTGTTTGAAGCATTTGAAATTCTTAACCAGTATCAACCACTGTTTTAGTCAAAGTTTCTGATGGGTATTGTTTGGAAGTTTGCACAACAAAACCAAGGAGAATTAGAAGAAATGTACTATCCCAGGTTTTCTTAGTTCTCATTTGGAAACTGTATTAGAACACTTGATGCTAAGGGCTAAGGATCAAAAGAAACTTCTGTAACACTGACCTGGATGTCCATTGCACAAACTGTTGGGGATTTAGTCTTCTATAAATCAGACTCCAAGCTTTTTTATGATCGATCTGCCATTCACATAAACCCTTCCAAACTGTTTTCACAGGTGGAAAGAGGGCAGTTGCAAAACCAAGGGCATGCACACTCTGTAGAGAATGTGTCATGGGACCAAATGGGAATCAAGTCGAACTGCGACGTGTTAGAGACCACTTCATATGTAAAGAACTCGGTTATCTTTCCTTAAGTAAAATGTTTTCATTATTGCGCCTTCATAGCTGGACAGCTGCATCACAGAACGGAAGTTTTTCCGATACGATAGCACTGTGGCACTGTACGTCCACTGCAACATTCTAATTCTCCGTGTTGGCTATTGTGTTTTCCTCGCTAGTCACCATCGAGTCCACCGGAGCTCTGCCCCCAGAGGTGCTGTTCACAGAAGCCGTGAAGATTTTGGAAGAGAAGTGCGAGAGGGTCATATCTGAGCTATCCTGAGAGAGGCTGACACTGTCCAAAAATGGAGTAAACGGGCTTAATTAGTCTGCCATATCTGGTATTTTACTGGAGACTAGTGTGGCATCAAACATTTTTGTGGTGGATGTTTGGGTCAAGAAATGGGAGCTGAACTAGAATTAGTACTGTTTTGCAGGTGAATCAACTGGCAACACAGAGACTGGATATTATGGATCGAAATACACGGTTGTGCCACATGCAGTCATGCAGATATCAATATGTTAGCGCACAAGCAGTCAAGCATTGTGTAACTCTGGATTCTGGAAAGGTGTGCGAATTCAGTTTTCGCTCACAACGTTCAGTTATTATTCATTTGAAGCATCGGTTGATGATGCGCCCACACGGCCGCACCAGAAGCACCACTGTAACTTCAGTTGTGACTGTGATGTCATTCCTCAGTTTGCGCTGTGGTTGGGAACATTCGGAATACCATGGGAATGCCTCAGGTCTGAATTTGCCTCTATGTTATGCCCGCTTCATGTGGATGCGTTTTCTTTTCTTTTTCATGCAGTGGCAAGAGCGCAGCTTGCATAAATATTGGTGTGATGGTGTAAATAGAAGGCAATATTGCCGCAGAGGGGCACAGCAGGCGCGTAGGGCCGATCTGCCGAAGGGCACGGTAACCCTGTTCATGGACTGGTTTCGGCGGTTTACGACACGGGTTGATAGCTGAAAAAGGAATTCTCTGGCTCTGTAACGTACAGCTGTGCTTTTGTATGCATGTAATTTATTTGGAGCCGTAACAAGGGCACAAACATACAACTCATCAGTACTTAAAAAAATAGCAACATTATGTTGCTGGCATTGTGCTAATAAAATATTTTTAACATCAAAGAAAAATACAGTCCATTATCGTTATGTCCGTCTGACAGCATACTGAACGAACACGAAGGAACTCCAAAAACATCAGTAGCTGTTGGACCGGCACGGTTCAAGTTGCTACTTCGGTTTCTCTTTAACAAACTGTCTTTGCACTAACCGGTAGTCGTCGTCATCATACACACGTACGCTTGCCCTCGCACTCCAGGCCTCTGTGGAGCTGAGCTCAATGTGCAAAAACGTAAAGGGATGGCAAATTTAACACAAATACTGACCTATTTGTAGCATATAAATTAGTTCCAATCCTATCGCCGGCAGTTGCGGATGATCGCAGCCCCAATGTTACATCAGAATCATGCTAACTGAGGATCTACTCGAATCAACTCATGTTAACCACGGGCTTTGGCTTCTCATCACCTTTGCACTCTGTGACTACAGCTGGAGTCCTTTGTTGATGTTGCATGACTGCCAATTGATCTGTGAAAAGTAGATCCCTTAGACAATTCAGCTGCTGCCGCTCTTTCTCCATCAGCATCTCCTTCTGTTCAAACCGGCATATTTCATCTTGGATTTCCTTCATCTGAAAAGGTCACACATGACACAAGAGATGGTATGGACAAGCAGTCAGTATATATTATACATCAATTTGTAAGTAGTTATCCCAAACTTGAGTGCTGGTACCTGGACATCTACTATGTTTGATAAAGATTGCTCTATGCTGTTCCGTTCCTTCTCAAGTTGTGCTCGTGCATTAGCAGCCACCTCTTTCAGCAAATCGTTGACTGAGCCCCCATTTGTGTGAGATGATTCTGAAGAGGGCATTAAAGTTGGCAGCTAAGAAGTATGGCATGTGTGAGGTGAGCAGGATGCATTTTAACAGTGGATGCTGTTCATATGCACAAATAATTCAGGTACAGGTCCATATACTATTATTTGCACATGGCACAATGCTATAATAATAAACGTGTATGCTTGAGCGTATTATTCCCTATAGAATGTTATTTGCATCCATACAACATTCAAACTTCCATTAGCCATCACTGTTGACATTGCTTGCATTTTGCATGTTGATGTGCAAAGGAGTATGCTTATGAATAGTTCAACGGAAGAAGTTGCAAAAGAATAGGCCAAATATATAGAGATCAGAGCTGATACCTTCTTCCTTGGTGCTATTTATTGACGTTTCAATCTCGCCGTCATTTAGGTCAACACGGGATTGTGCAGAAATAGCTGCTTGCGCTGCAGCTGAGGCAACATCGGAACCCACAATGGCTGATAAAAATGCAACCTGGGAAAACACTTTCAGTTACTCAGAATTCTCCCTCAGTTATTCAACACATCTGAAGTGAACAACAATACAGTACAAGGAAGCTGATGAAACAAGCCTGCCACCAGCAGGCCAATGTAAGACATTTGTGTGCACAGTGCACACCTAAGTCAGGGATCAGTTTTGAAAATGGTATGCCAAAGGTTGTTTAAATATTATCCCGGTGTTTCACTTTTGTTCCGAGGTTAAGAATATGGGTTATACATGCAAGGAACCAAGGCTACTTGAGGAAGTGACCTATACATCTAATAACAAGGACATTGTAGAAAGGGGCAAAGGACAATTGACAGGTTACATTCTTATATACATGCAATGACTCCTAAGTTTTAATCACAAAAAGGATTTGTATTGGCGCTGCCATCTTTGCTCCTAGGCCCAAGCAAATGGCATACTGCTTAAAAGTACTCTAGCAGCTACCAACATCAGGGTAAAAAGCAACGATACAGACCTGAGCCATAATCGGATTGCTTGCATCTGCTAGTGGAGTGAGATGTAGTCGTTTTGAGACATCTGCTCCAGGCTCATCAGAATTGTCATCATTGTTCTCAAATCCCATTCTATCCTCCTTGGGTCCCATGAACTGTTCTCCAAAAGGTAACCGTATAAATCTCGCAATACAGTCTTTTTCTGACCGACTACCAACATGTTCAGACACCTTTTTCCAGTCTTCGCCATAATGCAAGACAGCCTCAAGCAAGTGAAGAGTTTCTTTGTCTGTCCAATCTGCTTTTGCATCTTCAGTAATTTCAACTCTCTTGAAGTTAGCAGGAGACAGACCCGGCCGGTAGTTATTATTTACATAGCATCTAGTACAAAGACTTATATCTGCCTGATCACATGCAAAAGGTTAACAAGATCATACTTAGTAACTCTTAAAATTAAAATTTTTAAAAGCCAATGAAAAAGTTTCAGCCAACATGGTAAGAATGGCAAGCGATGACAATAGTTGAACTGATCTTTGTTGCTCACTTCAATTGGCATGAACTTGATCTGAATTGTTTACATGTCCACGTTACTTCGATGGTGAAAAATAACTGTACAGAGCGTCTAACTTCAAACTTCATTCTAAAGTGTTCATGATGTTCTGACTAGTGACTACAATCATACCCTCCAAAAAAAGCAATAAACAAATGTGGCTACTACAAAAGCTGAATCAATGCGCCAATGCCTGAATGACTTTGTACGTTCATAAATGAGGAGAATTGTTCTAAAACCAGGCCTATTGGGCGATATGAAACACTTCCAATCTATATTCAGAAGAAACAAAATCTAGCCACCTTTTATCAACAAGATTATTTGCTCATCAGTCTTAACGTCATTTCTTGACAACAATAAGGACAAATACTTCAATATTTACAGGTGATTTTGTGCACAGAAGTTGCACTGTGACCTCAGTTCAAAATTCAGAAGCAAATAAATATGACAATTGTCAGAGCAAAATATGCTTATATATATTACATGGGATCTTTGTTTTCAAAAGGTAGTCCGCTCACCTGTCCTACCCTTCCCAGGAGACATGTCAATGGAGATAACATGGACCATAGGACCAACCAGGAAGGCAGGAACACATCCAACCCCACGCAAATGAATTTCTTGATACATGTCTGAACTTATAACCACAGAACTATTGCTCCTTTCATTACATACCATGAGAAACCAAAGATGCAGATTTTGGCAACTCAATTTATCTTAATGTTGCCAGCAAAGACAAAATACTTTTGCACTGCAACTGCGCTAATTGGTGTAGCCCATCCCTAGTCACATTAATGAGTTAAGATAGTTCTATTCGGACCTAAATGTTTGATTCGTGTTACCAAATCTATATCTGCAGCGGAAAATTGATGCAGTGATACTATATCCCTACGGAAAATTTATGCAGTGGTACATATATACCAAATCCACAATTCAAAAACACTCACCTTGTCGCAGGCGTAGTAAGCAAGCCCACACACGGTGCGGCACCCGGTACAGAGCTTCCTGGGTACAGTTGCCCCAGAAGGCAACGAGGACTGTTGCGCGGCCTCTTCCCTCTTCTCTTTCGCTTGCTTTGACCCCGATGGCAAAGCACCGTAGTTGATGAGGCCCCATTCCTCAAGGAAATCGAAGACGCGGCGGACTGAGCCAACATCGCCAACAAGGCCCCTCCGGGCCTCCGTGAGCGTGAGCCGTCGACCCGGCCGCGCCCGGAACCTCCGTATCAGGGAGTCGCGGTAGTACTTGTACGCGTGCGGGCCCCGGCACCCGGACGCCGCCGCGGCCTCCCCCTCGAAGAACTCCGGAAGGAGGCGGCGCTCCGTGTCGTGGATGGAGTCGAACGAGAACCACGCTGCGAGGGGAAGCCCCGATTAGGGTTCCAGGTTTTAGCCTCCACAAGAGGTAGAAGCGCGGTGCTAAGGCACGGGTTTGTTTACCTGAATAACTAGGAACAGTGATGATGTAGGATGGATCCTCCGCTCCGGCGGCGGTGGCGGTAGAGGACGAGGGGGTGGGAGGAGCCTCTGACTTGACGGGACCCAGGGTGGAAGGCGCCCGGAGAGCAGGTGGCGCGGCGGGGAGTGGATGCGGCGGTGTTGGTGTAGGTACGAAGTTGGCTGTGGCCGCCGCCGCCGTCACCGTCGCCGTCGCCGTCGTTGTCGCCGTTGTGGCCATCGGAGGCGGAAGGGGAGAAGGAGAGGCGGAAACGCGGTCGATGGGCTGGGTTCGATAAAAGAAGAGACTTGTGCGCGTGTATTGGGCTTACCGCGTATGCATTGGGCCTTCAGTTTTTTTTTTTGACAGGGCCCCAGCATCTCCGGTAGTTCCAAACACCAATTGATAAATTAATGAGTTTTTTAAGATAAAAAAAGTTAGGAGCATATTTTTTTCCTCGAATTTCTTTTAAAATCTCACTCCTAAACATAGAAGGCAATTTTATATTAGAAATCCTAGACTATTTTCAACCACTCTAACTATTTTTACACTTTCTTTCTCTTATATATTTGTATTGGAACATTGTCCTACTCTTATTTTTCTCCATGTCCTTCCACATCCAGATTAGCCAATCGATACATCAGCAATTATTTTATTTTACCAAGTGTGTAAAAAGGTTAGGAGTTCAAATAGGGAGTCGTTAGAGAGCAGTTTTTTCAATCTTTTTTAGGAAGTTTTTTTTTCAATCTTACAAAAACAAAGATTGGGAGTGTATTTTAGAAACTCTTGAAGATGCTTTTAGATATTTCCTAATAAGTATCCCACAAGCAAAGCAAACAGTAAGGGCCTCTTAGACGATATCTTCTCATATATGCTCCACATGTAAATTGCTCTTTATGCATAATTTCTCTTTACTGTGAAGAAAAAAGATAGAGGAGTTGTGTTCTTTTATGCATCGACACGTGTAAATAGCTTATCTCAAAGGGTTTTTGACATCTTTTCTTCACGTGACATCTAATACTAACTTATAACTAGCTATTAGAGTTGCTCTAAGATAGTACTACGTCTCGTATTCTGAGCTGGAGGAACAACATGATGCCTCTCAAAGTAGCTCGAAATGCACTAGCATCGCTAAGTAGCCCTAAGACCAGTTTTAGCGAATGCCGTGAGAGTTCTATAGGCATTAAATAGAACCACTTTCACTTTATTTCATGTCATACTATCTAGCGTAGCCAGCTACAGCTACTTCCGCTCCTTCGTTTATAATGTTTATTTTATTTTTATAATGTTAAATTTCAAATATAAAGGATAGTCACACATGACACATGATAAACTATTAAAACGTGTTATTATCATTGCGACCATGCTCTATATATGCTAATAATTACTATAATAAATATAAATATCATATGGCGTATTTGATCATACATATATATGTTACTCCCTCCTAAAAAACGCAATTGTTTTATTTATAACTCCGAACTGACGTGGCACTTTCTTGCCTTGTCATTGGGAGAACCACGTCGGTCACTATCAGGTATCAGCAGGCCCACTGGACCGTCTCCTTCCTCACTCGAAAGTGATAGCCGCAGAAGAAATGCGCGTTCGCCGTTAGCCGGGCGGGCGGCGGGCCAACATCGCCATGGCAGCAGCGGGGATTGGGGGAGGAGGGGACCACGACCTTCCCCTCGAGGAGGTCGACGCCGTCCTCGCCTCCTTCTCCGGCGACCCAGCCACCGCCTTCGCCCCGCTGCCTGCACCGGATGCGGCGGCGTCGCGGGAGCTGGTGGTTGCTGGTGAGAGCCCACTGGAGGGGCTGGGGGACGTCGAGAATTTCCTTATGCAGGAGGAGGACTACGAGGACGAGGCACCGTTGGACGGGGTTGATGAGTTCTTGGACGGCATCCTCGTTGAGGACGGCGAGGGCGAGGGGAGCCCCAAGCCCACTGGAGAGAAGAGCGCCGATAGGGCGCGCGCGGGGGAGGATGAGGTGGCGGTGGGTGTGGATTGCGGCGACGATCCCAACAGCAAGAAGAAGTGGAGGTATTGGTCTTTTTCTCGTGTCTTTTTTATTAGAAGAAAAAACAATCTTATGTTCTCATCTGCCTAGGGAATAATTTGATGCAAGTGTTATGGAAATATAAACCAGATGTATAATTGAGCATCAATTTGTGTGGGAAGGGGAGCTGCTAAACTTTGGTTACTTTGTTCAATTTTATGTATCTGTGAGTTGAATGATGCTTGAGTCACTGCCTGATTAGTCACTATTATGAAGGGTGGGGGGGGCTAAGATACACAACTTTTATTATGTATCTAGACATATCGTATGTCTAGGTGCATAGCAAAAGCTATGGACCTAGAAAAGCCAAAACGACCTATAATTTGGGACAGATGGTGGTATTTAGTTGATGTTTCAGGACTGGCTTTGTTGTCTGAAATTTGAAAAGCTAAATTCCTTTTAGATTATAAGATGTTATGAGTGCGATGGCTCGAGATTCTTTTCAGCTCATTTCCTGCTTATGTGGATGTAACGACTTCCCCCCTAAATGGCCAGATCCCCTTGTTGTAGTAAAAAAAATACTCCCTCCATTCCAAATTATAAGACACTTTGACTTTTCTAGATACATAGAATTTGCTATGCACTTAGATATACATTATGTCTAGATACATAATAAAAGTGATGTATCTGGAAAAGCCAAAATGTGTTATAATTTGGAATAGAGGGAGTATATCTTTAAGCAATACTACAAAAATGAGGAGGATTGCTTATATGTATCTTTTGTTGGTTTTGTATCTGAAAGGTCGAGAGTTTGTCATAATTATCATATTGAAAGATGGCTCACTAGGGAAGCATATAGATGGTACATTAGTTTGCTGCTTGGTTACGAAACATATAATATCTGCGCTTTTTTTTGTGTTGTGTTTCAACAGACAAATGAGGAATAGGGATTCTGCCATGAAATCTAGGGAGAAGAAGAAATTGTATGTAAAAGATCTGGAGATGAAGAGCAAGTATCTGGAGGCAGAGTGCTGCTGCCTAAGCTATGCCCTCCAGTGTTGCACTGCTGAGAACATGGCGCTTCGCCAGAGTTTGCTGAAGGATAGGCGTGCCGGTGCTCCTACAACCATGCAGGAGTCTGCCGAACTCACGGGTAAATGATCATCTTATCTGCACATAATTCCCTTTTTGTATGGGGGATGAGCTGTGAGCATTTTCATCATTCTTTGGTGCTCTCTGGATGGACTATGAACATTGCAAATTCTTTATGCTAGTTAATTTTGAGTATTCGTCAAACTAAATCATCTTATTTTAGGCATCATTTTACCTTGTATAAGGCTGTGAATGCTTATGCAAATAACACCATGATTGCTAATCAGCTATTCCATTCCTCATGGTTACACCCATGTACTAAAATTTTTGCCGAGTCAGACACCCCGCACCTGTGTCAGATTCCAAGTAGTGTACTGTCCTTAGAAAACTTGCCTAGTTCGATACCAGAACCCGAATCAGATGCTGACATCCGCACCCGTGTCCATGTAACACTGGTTCCACATGTTAAATTGGAGATACAGAACCAGTATGTTTTGGCTTTCTTTCTTTCTCTTCCCTCAGAAGACAGTTTGCTTTTTATGCACTATGGTGTGCTTTTTTGTTACTGTTGAAATAAATTCATATTCATTTAGCACAAAGTAGGAAGTGTATATAAGACTAGTTTCTTCGGTAATCATGTGAAAGATGAAATGTTGCAGTCATCCTTTTTGTGTGGAATAAATTGATTTTGACAGTAGCTACAGATTTTGTCATAATGTTGCCTCTAATGCATCGTTTACTGTGTGCAGAAACCCTGCCGCTGGTTTCCCTGCTTTGGCTAGTGAGCATCTTGTGCCTATTCCTGGTGGACGACATGCCCAACAGAAGCCTGGTGGCTCCAAGAAGCCTCGAAAGAGATCTTGTAAAGCTGGCCAGGACATCAATAAACGGTGTAAAGATGACCAGAATGACAAGTAACGGTGACAATCCTGGGGCTTTGGGACTCATCCGCCTTGGAAGACGCTGTAGAGGCACAAGGGCGAGGATCAAGTCACCTTGGGTTCCTTGGCATGCAGCAGCTGCTTGCTAAGCAGCCAGTCATCGTGCGAACCTTCTCTGAGGTGTTGGTTAAACATATTGGTACTTGGGACGACTGCATGCACCATCGCTGTGAATCTTTGTTCCGCTCTTTTCTTGACACCATGTTGATGTGGTTTAAAAAAAAGTAGTCGCAGTAAATGATTCGTTAAAGCTGCACAGCGTTGATTACAAGTGGGAGATGATAAGGGCAGTCCCAATGGTGTATTGATGATGGTTTCTATCCTCATTAAATGACTTGTCACGTAGGCAAAACGCTGACATGGCAACGTAATTAATGAAGAAAGAGAGAAAAATCCTAGAAATGGTTTCCTCATGAAGAAATCAGGTCTTCTCTTGACCCAATGCATCAAGAAACCATGAAATCGCCATTGAAGAAAAAATCATCAGTTTCTAGGAGACTCGTGTCGCACTTCCATTGGAGGAAAAAGATAGAGTTAAGAGAGAAAGAAAATAATTAGTACTTATAGAAACCATGGGTTGAAAAGCGATACTTTTTTTTTTTTGATATGGTATCCTATGTTATAAAAACTACTGGTTTCTTTCGTTGAGCTGCCCTAACAGCAGATACTATCGAAACAGGGATTAGCTAGCTGGGTGACAACAGTTGCTGAAGCCCTGAACCTTTCAATTTTTCTCGACATTGATGTGGCGCCTGGTTTGTAGTCGCATATAGTTCAGATTTCAGAGAGAAAAACTTTTTGTGTTTAGTCCCAGTTTATCAATGCTGAGGGACAATTTTGTGAAAACATAATTGAAGTAATGAAAGACTTCAACAACCTCATTTAAACTTATCAATCATGGTACAATATTTTTCTCTCACAACAAAGCAGCCACAGCCACAGAAACCATCAGCCGAACAGCTTGCAAATTATGCTGTTCTCAGTACCATCAGAAAAAAAATCCCATTTTATTCAGACGAATCATTCCAACATTGCTGTAATTTATCCATCTAACTTTCCAATTAGACAAGGGCAGCAATACTGATCATCGATATTTCATAAAAGATTACCCAAAAAAAAACACAACTCAATGAGACATCATGAGATTACTAAAAACAATTTGGTACATGATCAGATCACAATGGCAGCAATATTGATCATCTAACTTGCAGCTCCATAAAGCATTGCGAAAACTGTGTGAGCTTAACGATGCCAGCTAAATAATTTGGTCAATAAGTTTACTAAAAATAATGCATGCACACAACAGGTGCGGACCCTGTAACTACAAGGCACGACATGCCCCATTAGCAATCATGCAATCAGTCAACCACCTAGGGACCCTGCAACTACAAGGCACTACATGCCCCATCAGCAACCATGCAATCAGTCAAACAAACCACCTAGGTTGGCAGAACGACGTGAGACATGAACGCCACTTAGCAGGCAAAACTGATTGCTCAGCCCAAAGAAGGCCACCTCATCAGCCACACCCACTCATCTCGAAGAATGGACTTTGGTTCTCACGGCAGCATTACAAGGTTTTGCCACCGCCACTTGACATGAGTGAGGCAGCAGCAGCGCCTGCAGTTGCTACAATTCCAGTCGAGTGTTCTGGTTTTGACAGATGCAGCAGCCTGCAGCAGATTTGCAAGGATTATTAAAAGAAGGCAGGTGCTTGATTCATTCTTATATGCTTTCTGATTGTTGTCTTGGAATCCAAGCTAAGGGGTACTTACGGGGCAAGATATTCACAGAACGCAGAGACAGCTGAAACAACATCATTGTAATTATCAGCAGCAGCAGGAGCTGTGATTTCCACTAACTGTATGCCAGGAGTGACTGGCACAGCCTCATCGGTTGCATGGAGCCTTGGCATCTTGTTAGTAGATGTAACAGTGACAGTGATTTGGGCACCTCGGTGGAAACGAAATGCAAAACCAATCTTCAAGAGTTCATGGTCTAGCTTGTACCCTAGAGTGTAGAAGTAGTGCAAGACGTTCTTGCTAGCTTTGCTCTCCACAATTGTACGAACCAGAACTGAGATTTGCTCCGCACCAGCACCTCTCATGGCACCACCAACATGTCTTATGGTCCTACAATCTTGCCACAGTTAATGACAAACATTACGAAAGGTAAACTTTCAGCAGCTTATCACGGTTACCAGGATGGTGTGGGCTGAGCTAAGTCACACAACAAACGAACCTCCGATGGGACAACACCTGTATGATTGGAATACATCAGTTAATATGCCACATGTGTAGGAATGGAAGAGTAGACTAATCACAAACTAACCTAGATTGGGTCCACTTTTAAGGCATAGCTCATGCACCCTAACACGCTCTTTTGGGACACCGGAGAGACCCTGGAGAAGAACCTCAAGAGCTTCAACATGCTGCAAAATGGGAAGATCAACCAAAGGTTAAACTAATGGCAGAGCAGTACACAAAGGCCAAATGACATTCTGTGCACAACACATCAACTAGAACATACAAATAAATTAAGTTCCTCTCTATTGTAAAAGCACAATGATAGATCATATGTTCCCCCAATTGTATATTAAATGTTATTATTCTGTTAACATGCTGAGCAGAGAAAGCAAATGAAACCTAAAGGTTCAGAAGTAGTGCCTTACAACAGGGAATAAATTATTGACATTTAGTGGTCTACATGATCTATCACTTCATTGAAATAAACTTTTACTATTATTTATCTGTGCTGGAGTACAAACAGAAAAGTGACCACCAACTGGCAACTATGGATAGTGGCTATACTGGAGAGGGAGCTAGGCTCAACTGAGCACTAAAATGAAGCTAGTGGTATGGTGCACACTAAGCTCAACATTGGTGGCTCAACATTGTACACAGTACATGTACATCAATATGAGATTGTTTTATCCACTACAATGGGAATTCAATTAGTAACGAAATGCTCAACAACAAATTCAATACTATAAGTAGATACTTACTAATAGATATTAACATTCTAAACACCATTGAAAATACTTATCAAATCTAGATGCAATCAGTGAGAGGAAAAGTTAATGTCAGATCTGCACAACAAAATATGCTGCACTAACGATGTAGTAAGAGCTCCTATCTTTCAAAAGTTATTAGAATGCGTGAAGATCACATTTTACATAAACCATCAGTGCCAACTTGCATTATGGCACAAAATACCTGGGTCTCGATGATTCCCTGCACCACGCACTCCATCGGTCTACTGTCCCACGATGATTTTGCCCACCAAAAAAGAATCAAGTTAGTGGATTTGATATATGTGTATCAGGGGCGGACCAGTAAAGGGACATGGGCGTACACATGTACACCCGATGATTTTTGCAAAAAAAAAAAAAAATACTTAGAAGTTAGTAGGCATCAAATAGCCAAATAGCTTGAGGTTAGAGTTTGGGAACTCGTTTTCGCACAGCAGATAGGGGAGAGAAGGGGGTGGGAATACCTGGTGGGCGCTCTTCGCCGGCGAATAGATCGGCGAAGGGCTCGGCGCCTGGCGTAGGGGGGCGGCTGCGGTAGCCCGCCCAGTCGTCGCAGAGAGGAAGAGATAGATAGAGAGAGAGAGAGCACGAGCGAGCGCACGCGGTGTGAAGGTGACGGATGCGGCGGCGGCTGTAGCCCAACTAGGACGTGATTTGGGAAGAGGGAGGCTCGATAGGACTGAGGCACTGTCGGGTGTCGGCGGTGTGAGCCGGGCGGCGGCGTCGACAGGAACGAACAATGGTGGACGCGACGCGAGGAGAGAGACGGGAACGAGGGAGCCAGGTGGTGGGCGGTTGGGCTTGAGCCTTGGTTGTTCTCGGCCCAGTCGCCAGTCCTGGATTTATTTTTCACACATCTTTTGCAATTTCTTCTTTTTCCTTATTTTCTTTCTTTTTTTTTAATTTCGTATTTGTCCATTCCATAAAACATACAAGTAGCTAGTGGAACATTGTTTTTAAATAAGGTTAGAAATAGCGCTGTTTCAAAATAAGGTCAGAAATAGTGGCATTTATTAGTAATTGCAAATAAGCAAAAGTGGCAATATAAAACATTCTTTAGTATAGTATATGTGGTGGAAACTTATTATGAGAGCACCCTAATTCACTATAACATCGTTCAATCTTTATTTTCCGTAACGAATTGTTTGCCACCACAATGTATAGGTCACAGAACTTGATAACAAGTTGTATTCTATTAGTAGAATAGCTTGATTGAAGTACAATGCTAAATGAAAAACCGTCAATCAGAACAATATGCCATAATGATTTGTGCTGAAAGGCAATGCTTCAGAAAATCAAGAAAGGATGATCGCCCATAAGTATGATAGTAATTTGGTTTTATATTTGATGATAACTCTTATAGTAATAATTTGGTAGTAACTCTTGTTCTTTTTTTGGTAATATAATATAACATAACGCTTGTTCTAAAAAAAAAACATAACGCTAAGTCTTTTACTTTCGAAAATGCAAGTCAAACACCGCAGATATGAAATTTGCTATTCCATCCTCTTTTGGAGTGCGCCCATGAAAAGTCAAAATTCCAGTCCTACCCCTCCCTCCACCCTCTTCCTCCCTCCTTCAATCCCTCCCCCACGCACTCGGCACCTCCCTCCATTCCAATTTTTTCCACCTCCCTCTCTCAGATCTCCGCCCCTCCTCCAATGACGTGACGGTCATCGCGACTGCGACAACCACCGCATAGGCGCCCTCACCATGGCGACCCCCACGACGCCACTCGGCGGCGCGTCTCCGTCGGGCCGCGTTCTGGGCCCGGCGCTGGACCGGATCATAAAAAACGCCGCGTGGCGGAAGCACTCGGCGCTCGTGGCCGCGGCAAAGGCGGCACTCGACCTCCTCTCCTCATCGCCGGAATACCCGTCGCCGGACCCTACATCGCCGCAATCCTCGCCGTTGCTCGGCCTGCCCTCCGCCGCCGCCGACGCGTCCCTCCACGCGCTGCTGCTCGCTCTCGAGTCCGCTTCGCCCAAGGTTGCTGACCCCGCTCTCGATTGCGTCACCAAGCTCCTTTACCACCGCCTCCTCCTCGGCGACCTCGGCTGCGCCGGCGCCGGCGACGATCCCTCTTCCCCCACCTCCAGGCTCCTCAACGCCGTCCTCACCTGTGGCGCGCTCTCTGATGATGCAATGGAGCTTGCCACCCTCCGTGTCATCGTCGCCGCCGCGCGGTGCCCCACCGTCGCCATCCGCGGGGAGGGCCTCGGCCAGGTGCTCAAGACCTGCTACAACATATACCTCAGCAGCAGCAGTGGCGCCAATCAGCTCTGCGCCAAGCTTGCGCTGGCGCAGGTGCTGGTGATTGTGTTTGCACGCGTGGAGGTGGATTCGATGGACGTGCGCGTTCGGACGGTGTCGATCACGGACATGTTGGACGTGTCTGACCGCAACCTGAACGACTCCAGCATCGTGCAGGTGGCTCAGGGGTTTATAAACGAGGCTATGGAGGGGAGTGATGCCCCAGAGCCAGGGTCACATTTGGAGCCAACTGAGGTGGATGGAAAGGAGGATGTTGGGATGAGCAAGACCAGAGAGGATGGGCTTGCGCTCTTCAAGAACCTGTGCAAGCTATCAATGAAGTTCTCGACGCCAGATAACCCTGAGGATCAGATGTTGCTGCGGGGCAAGGTGTTGTCTCTTGAGTTGCTGAAAATGGTTATCGACAATGCCGGCCCTTTCTGGAGAACAAATGAAAAGTATGACCCCATACCTGTAGTTGTTTCCAGCTTTGTAGATTTCAATTATTTAAGTATAAATTTTATAGAACTACAACTATTTGGCACTTAGTACCATATAACCACAACTTTCTCATAGGTACTCAGTGCCAAACTAGCTGTAGTTCTGTGAGGAAGTTGTATTTTTTTTTAGTACCAAGTGTCAAAATAGCTAGAAGGGGAGCCTTGGCGCAGTGGTAAAGCTGCTGCCTTGTGACCATGAGGTCACGGGTTCAAGTCCTGGAAACAGCCTCTTGCAGAAATGCAGGGAAAGGCTGCGTACAAAAGACCCAAGTGGTCGGACCCTTCCCCTGACCCTGCGCAAGCGGGAGCTACGTGCACTGGGGCTGCCCAAGTGTCAAAATAGCTGTAGTTCGGTGATACTTATCAAAATTCTTGTAGTTCTGTGGGTGTTTGGTAAAACAATAAGTTAGATTTCTGGAAGTTACTAAAAAAATTATTGTGGAGTGAAATGGACTGTAGGTCCCTAAACTATTCCCGTATTCTCATATGGGTTCATGATCTCTCAAAGTGATCATCTAGGTCCTTCAACTTTTCAAGAGGTTCATTCTAAGTTCACTCTAGGTCCAATCATGGACCTGGATTCACACTTTGAATGAACTGCTTTGAAAGCTGAACGACCTAGATGATCACTTTGAGAGATCATGGACCCACATGAGAATGTGGAAATAGTTTAGGGACCTACAGTGCATTTCACCATTGCATGAGCCGTGGAGTATAAAATGACTTGGCATAGAGTGTACAATGTCGAATCTGTGGAGCATTCTTGTTTGCTAGGGTGCTCCATTAAAAATACACCATATTTGCTCTGAAATTATTATTATTATTTTGAACGGGAGCTCTGAAATTATTTTTCATCCTTTTTATGCTATTATGCATAATATTTCTCTAATCTGCCTGCTCAGTTATGTAAACATATATCTCTAATTCTATTTTTGGAATTCATCCAAAAATATTTATTCTATATCACGAACGAAAGGTTTGAAAATGAAAAGGATTAAGAAAAAGTTATAGCAATAGGTACTTAGGTATAGTTTATTACAAGCACTTTAAAAAGCTCTAGGATCTAGGTGGATGGCTGGTTGGCAGATGATTTACCTATTTGTCAAAAACCCCACGTGTCTTTATTCTGAATTTGTGTTCCCATCAATCAGGTCCTGACTCCTGAGGAACCTGCTCGAATGGTCTGAATTTGTTTTCATTTGGGTTTTGTTAAGTTTATTGTACGGGTTTCACTGAGTCACCAGGTCGTGGGTTCGAAGCAGCCTCTCCGCAGATTTTGCGGGGGAAAGGCTTGTCTCGGTTTATCCCTTCCCCAGACCCCACTCATGTGGGAGCCTCCGGCACTGGGTCTGCCCTTTTTTATTGTACAGTCCTTTCACTGACCAAATTAATAAATAAGTCATAGAGTCAGCAGCACATGGAAAAGGAAGAAAATGGGATGGCATTACTGCATGGCTGCTATGTACTATAATAGCCACTTAGTCAGAAAAGGGAGCGAAAATGAATGTCATTCTACATATAACTTAACTTTGCACTAAACGAAATAGGCTTAATGATGTTTTTTTGGCAGAAAAAGAACTCCACCTTTTTTGTTTGCAAAGTAGAAATGGTAATTCTGAAGCAAATATATTACAAGTGTGCACGTACAGCTATTGGCCTTTATGATTCTATATATGAAGTTTTCTTTAGGTTAGTTTTGTAATGGAGTGTTGAAATTACTTTGATCTTGACAGAATAAAGCTCGGTAATTTTGAAATATTCTATTGTTGAACAAATCTCTTACAAGTGTGCTCTTACAGCTTTTAGCCTTTGTGAAGTTTCTTTAGGTTATTTTATGAAGGTGTGATCTTGACAGCAAATAAAACTCGTGGACTGAAAGTTCTTTTCTGAATCAGGTACCTTGGAGCAATCAAGCAGTATCTTTGTTTGTCCTTATTGAAGAACTGTGCTTTGTCAGCAATGAGTATTTTCCAGCTGTTGTGCTCCATATTTGTAGGCTTACTGTCAAGGTTTAGATCTGGGCTGAAAGAGGAAATTGGAATATTCTTTCCAATGCTTGTCCTAAGGGTTCTTGAGAATGTCCATCAACCTAGCTTTCTACAAAAAATGACAGTTCTAAACTTGTTGGAGAAGATCTGTAAAGAATCTCAGGTTCTTATTGATATCTTTGTGAACTATGATTGCGATGTAGATGCGCCAAATATTTTTGAAAGGTATGTAACTTCTAATTTAGTACTTGATGAATAGTCTCCTTCTGTTTTGTTATTAAATGAACAAAGCAACAGTTCCTGATTTCTAGTTCTGCATGGCACTTTGGGTTGAGTACGTTGTGAGGATTGATGCATTGAGCTGAGCTCTGCTCTTTAAACCTCATTTTTCATTATCTTTTCATCATTTATTAAGGCATCTCTAATTTCAGTAGATGTTTGCAGGGTTGTCAATGGACTTCTAAAAACTGCTTTAGGTGTTCCTCCAGGATCTACAACAACATTAACTACAGCCCAAGACCAAACATTTCGGATTGAGTCAGTGAAGTGCCTTGCAACCATAATCAAGTCAATGGGTTCATGGATGGACCAACAGCTGAGAATTGGTGATTTTTCACCAAAAATTTCTGAAGCTTCTTTAAGCTCTTTAAGTTCAATAGACATTCCTAACATCCTTATTGGAGAAGATGGTAGTGGAGCTGATTATGAACTGCAATCTGACTCTGGTAGCCCAGATGTATCTGGTGCACCCTCCCTTGAGCAACGTCGTGCTTTTAAAATAGAACTTCAGGTATATGTTATTTTCATGCTTGGTTTAGAAGTTTCAATTCTCAGTTTGAAAGAGGGTTTCACATTTTTGGACTAATGAAGAATAATTTTCCTTCTCCAGAAAGGAATATCCTTGTTTAACCGAAAACCTTCCAAGGGAATTAATTTTCTCGTTAAAAGCAAGAAGATAGGGCATACGCCAGAAGATGTTGCTTGTTTCTTGAGAAATACTGCTGGTTTAAATGCAACAATGATCGGAGACTATTTGGGTGAAAGAGATGAATTCCCTATCAAAGTTATGCATGCATATGTGGATGCACTGAACTTCGAAGGTATGGACTTCGGTGAAGCTATTAGGTATTATTTGCGAGGCTTCAGGCTGCCTGGCGAAGCACAGAAAATTGATCGGATCATGGAAAAGTTTGCTGAACGATACTGCAAATGCAATCCAAACTCCTTTACCAGTGCAGATACTGCATATGTTCTTGCTTATTCTGTAATCATGCTCAACACTGATGCTCACAATACTATGGTCAAGGATAAGGTAAGCAAATAATAATAAACATCTTTGAGTCAAGATTAGTCCATTTATGAGATTTTCAACGTGCAGATGTCGAAATCTGACTTCATTCGCAATAACCGAGGAATAGATGATGGGAAGGACTTGCCAGAAGCTTATATGGGTACACTATATGACCAAATTGTCAAAAATGAGATCAAAATGAGTGCTGATTCATCAGTTCCACAAAACAAGCAACCTAGTAGCGTGATGAAGCTATTAGGTTTGGACAATATTATCAGCTTTGTTAACTGGAAACAGGCTGATGACAGGGTAGTTGGAGCAAATGACCTGCTCATTAAAAACATACAAGAGAAATTTAAACTAAAGAGTGGAAAGTCAGAGTAAGACTAACACAAACCATTGTTATAAGATAGATTTGTATCCACTGATGCTTTGGAAGTAACTCAAGCTTTTGCTTTATGCAGGTCTGTGTTTTCTATTATCACTGATACAACAATTTTAAGGTTCATGATGGAGGTTTGTTGGGCCCCTATGATGGCTGCATTCAGTGTGACACTTGATCAGAGTGACGATAAGGCCGCCACATCACAGTGTTTGCAGGGATTCAGGTCTGCTGTGCATGTTACCTCTGTTATGTGCATGCAGACACAGAGAGATGCCTTTGTGACATCTGTAGCAAAATTCACATATCTGCATTGTGCTGCTGACATGAAACAAAAGAATGTGGATGCTGTGAAGGTGGGAATGCCAAACAGAGATACCTTTTTTATTTATCAAAGTTATAGTCAATGCATCTCACAATTAAAAGCCTTATCATGCCAGACATATTGGATCATTTGATACCATAGGAACCAACATCCATGTTTTTATACAAATCCTGCAGTATTTTAGGAATCCCGTTCTGTTCAGATGATTATAATTTTAATGTAGTCCTTTTTCTCTGTAGTGTACTAATTTTCCCTATCGTGCACTATTTATAGCACTTTTTTTTGAACAAATCCTTGGCATATATGTAGCCTTTTTCATTAAAGCATACATATATGACTTGAACCATGCCTGGAATCTCAGTCAATCCAAAGTATTTACTGGATTATATTGCTTTATCCTTTTTTTTCCCCGAATACGCAGGAGAGCTGCGTATCATTTCATTAAAGAAGACAAATGAACCAAGTACAACAACAACAACACCCCACAATAGTTTAGAAGGTGCGTGCCACTGTCAAAATAACAGACGACCTGACCTAAACAACCGCTGAACCTAGACAACCCTAGAGAGTAAACCTAGCAGCTGCTTTGCGCCAGAAGCACATCAGAAATCACTTTATTCTACAACAGCCTTCATACCCCAATTTACATAAGGAAATATAGAGGTGACGCAATTGTTGCGTTGCATCCAAAGCTTCCAAGCAACAAGGATGGTCAAAGAATTAAGGCCTTTCCTAAGTTGCTTTTCGACTTGTTTGAGTGAGCGACTCCACCATCCTGAGAAGCTGCCAACGTCAGGTGGGCACTCAATCCATGCCCAATTAGCTAAGGACGATGAATATTGCTTTACCCTACCATTTATCATCGGCACATGAATTAGCATCTAAATGAATCTCACAGTTAGACTACATTGTCCATTTCGAATTGAGTCTGTTTTCTTTTTCTCACTCTGTTTCCTGTCAGGCTATAATATCCATTGCAATCGAAGATGGTGATTATTTGCAGGAAGCTTGGGAGCATGTACTAACATGCCTTTCACGGTTTGAGCATTTACATCTTCTTGGAGAGGGGACACCTACTGATGCTTCATTTCTCACAGTACCACTGGTTAACTCAGAAGATAAAACACAGAAGTCTACCTCTATGTCATCAAAGAGAACTAATGCACTTCAGAATCCAGCTGTAGTGGCTGCTGTTAGAGGAGGTTCTTATGACAGCACAACAGCAAAAAATAAAGCGTCACCGTTGGTTACTCCTGAACAGATTAATAACTTTATATCAAACATAAACCTGCTAGACCAGATTGGCATTTTCGAGTTAAATCACATATTTGCTCATAGCCCAAGATTAAATAGTGATGCTATTGTTGCTTTTGTGAATGCTCTTTGCAAAGTTTCAATGACAGAGTTGCAGTCTCCTACAGATCCTCGTATCTTCTGCCTAACAAAGATTGTTGAGATTGCGTAAGCTTATAATCTATGACCTATGTCAAGCTATATGAAATTATGAATATATTCGTAGACAATAATTTCCAAATTAACTAATTTGAAGTTTCATTGCACAGGCATTACAATATGAACCGCATACGCTTGGTTTGGTCCCGTATTTGGAAAGTTCTGTCAGATTTTTTTGTTTCTGTTGGGTTGTCAGAGAATCTTTCAGTTGCAATATTTGTTATGGACTCTTTGAGGCAGCTAGCTATGAAGTTTCTGGAAAGAGAAGAACTGGCAAATTATAATTTCCAAAATGAATTCCTGCAACCTTTTGCGGTTGTTATGCAGAAGAGCAATGCTTCAGAAGTACGTGAACTTATAGTTCGATGTGTCTCCCAAATGGTTCTGAGTCGTGTCAACAATATAAAATCTGGATGGAAAAGTGTTTTTACGGTACGTAATGTTCTATCTCTAGTTTAGTTTATCATGACATCTTGGCATAAAGTTCATGGGATCTACAATTAGCTGTTCTCAGGAACTAAGTTAGGCCTTGTTTGGATGTCCATATATACACTCCAATCCACGTGTGTTGGGGTGGGTTCGTGTGAAATTTAAAACTAAATTCCACACCAACCCACCCCAACGCATATGGATTGAGGTGGATACATGGGCATCCAAACAAGCCCTTAGATTGTCTTTCTAAAATTGATGATTCAATATTAACATCATCTTATCTACTTACAGGTTTTTACTGCAGCTGCTGCTGATGATCGGAAAAATATTGTTCTGTTGGCATTTGAAACCATGGAAAAGATTGTTCGGGACTATTTCCCTTACATAACTGAAACTGAAACCACAACGTTTACTGATTGTGTTAAATGCCTTATCACATTCACAAGTAGTAAATTTAGCAGCGATGCCAGTCTTAATGCCATTGCATTTCTTCGGTTTTGTGCTGTCAAACTCGCTGAGGAAGGATTTATTAGTCATGAGAAGGATACTGACCAGCAACCAAGTAACTTAGATTCATCAGATGGGAACAGCACGGTGCATAAGGATGATCATGTTTACTTCTGGGTTCCTTTGCTTGCTGGTATAACTTTTTTTTCACAAAATTACACGGATCTTACTGGAAAATTTAGAAATGCTTCATGTTGTAACATATTTTATTTGAATCTCTCTTTTCCAGGTCTAGCTAGATTGACAACTGACTCAAGACCAACTATCAGAAAAGGTTCTGTGGAAGTGCTCTTTGACATCTTGGAAGATCATGGGCACCTCTTTTCTCAGTCCTTCTGGGCTAATATCTTTGAATCGGTTATTTATCCCTTATTTAGCAGTGAAAGCTTTGCACCAAATGGCCAGATCTCAAGTGTAAATAGTACTGAGGATGATTCTTGGAATTTTGAAACTAAAATGGTGGCTCTAAAATGTTTAGCAGATTTGTATGTTACGTTTTTTGAAGTGATGCGTCCAGAACTTTCTAGAGTTACGTCTGTTATTACGAATTTCATCAGAAGCCCTTATAAACAATCAGCTAGCACGAGTATATCAGTTTTTCAGCGTTTAACAGAAGGACTCGCGAGCAAGCTCTCCAATGATGAGTGGGGGACGATCTTGTTGTGTTTCAAAGAATCAGCAGCACATACATTTGTTGTGTTTGACAAAATAGTTAGGATGATGAAAGACATTGAAATTCCAGATAGAAATGAATCTTACTCTGAAGCTGAGCAATATTCAGATCATGACATATACAATGATGATGAAGAGGAAGCTAATATGGAAACAGCATCTTATGCTATTGTCAGAATGAAGAATTATATGGCTTTGCAACTCTTAATTGTTGAGGTACTTAAACTAAAATATAGAAATCATGTGGCTTCTTGTTAGTTCAATTAGTTTTTAGTAATCCCCTATATTGTAAGCACTGCTACATTGATTTTGAGACCATGAAAGAACAGATACCATAAATTCCTTTGCATATCCAATTAAAATAGGAACCAAATTTAAAGAAAAAGAATCCTACATGCATTTTTAATGTGCCAACAGTTATCAATCAAAACCTTTTCTTGGCTTCCTTGCAGGGCATCATTAAATTGTATGAGATGCACAGAAGCTTTCTTTGTGCTGAGCATATAGGCATAATGTTGGAGATGCTATCTGCCATTGCATCACATGCAAGTGAAGTGAACTCTGAATCTAACTTGCACATTAAACTACATAAAGCATGTTCCATTTTGGAGCTATCTGAGCCAGCGGTCATCCATTTCGAGAGCGAGTCCTACCAGAGCTACCTCAAACTTCTCCAAGCTCTTCTTCATGATAACCCATCTTTGTCAGAAAATATGAATGTGGAGTCACAAATTATGCTCGTCTGCGAGAAAATATTGCGAATGTATCTGACCTGTGCAGGGCATGAACCATCTAATGATGTTTCTGGTAGAGATCCAGCTTTACATCGGCTGCCTCTGGTTACTGCTAAAAAGGGGGAACTGGATGCTAGAACTTCATTGGTCCTTCATGTGATGTGGTTATTGAGCAGTTTAGAGAAGAATTGCTTTAGGAGAAACTTGCCCCTCTTTTTCCCCTTATTAGCTAATCTTATTGGCTGCGAGCATAGCTCTGGAGAAGTTCAAGTTGCACTGTATGATATATTCCAATCATCAATAGGCCCCATAATATCAGCATAGCGTATATTATTTCTTCACCAGTTTGTACAATTTTGTTGGTCCATTTTGGTAACGTAGCTCATTTGATTGTGGTTACATCAGAATATGGTATAAGAAAAGGGTACAGCTTTACAGTACTGTAAATGATTCATGGTTGAGGCATTTCTGGTGTTGAAGGTGAATTCTCTTTCTTATTCCCCACAGCTTTAACATGTTAATCTTTCAGTAAAAGCAGGGGATTAATTTATTTGTGCCATACGTTTTGCAGCTACATGTAACATCGACCCGGATGCCTAAAGAAGGCTTTTGAGGCGCACATTTGCCATTCTTTTTCTAACATTCATTTTAATCCGCTGGGTAATCATGGACATGTCAAAGCAGCTGAACATTGGAATAAGACTCTAATTTTTGCTGTGCACCAACAACTCTGAAATTCTGCAAGGGGCGTTTGCTTACCACAGAAATTTTGAGGTGCATACAGTTTTGGTGTAATTTTTTCTTCATCTTGGCTCTGTATAGTGTCCTCTCCTGAACATAGACGAGGCTTCTGTCATATGTTACTGTTCATCCTAATCTGTCGAATCTATTGGAATTACCATTTAACAGTATCTACACTGTAGTTAGTAGATATACTTTCATTCTAACAGCAATGGTATCCCAAAGTTGTATATTAAGGAAAGGCGAGCAATATAGTTCCCATGTCTATTGCCATCAGGATATTACGACTTATACTCTAATCAGAACCCCCCCCCAACAGTACTTTCAGCCACGACTTATCAGCCAAACAAGCTCAAACGAACAGGGCGTTGGTCATTCTTGACGCACACAACAAACAAAAAGATAACTAGCAAAACTGCTATGCTATGTATGTACAAACTACAAGAGCCAACACACTTGGGGCTTGTTTGGAACCAACCGAGGAATTTCACGAGAACTGGGAAATTCTTGGGGTCCCAAACCGGGCCAAGAAGGGCAGATATCTAGCAGCAATCTGGCTTGTGATCACCAGCAGCAGGTAGGTAGGATCTCTTGATAAACTCCAAGCAGTCTGCAATGGCCTCTGCCTGGAGGGAGTTCTCCCTCTCTGCTGGTCCAGGACGGTGACACCTGTCGCCGTGGCTGGGCATCATCTTATTATGCGGCCTCGACCTCCTCCTGCTCCTGGGGCAGCAGTTGAGCTCCTCCAGGCACCGGACGAGGAGGCCGGCGATGCCGAACAGCCGCACACGGAGCCGGAGAAGCGAGCCGAGCCGGACATGGCGCACCCGGTGGCCTCGGCGACTCGCCTGGCGATTCATCGTCGGCCGTCGCCTCCTGAGAGGAGAGGAGAGAATCAGCACTGCAGCCTCGCTTGTCTGAAACCTGAATGGAGCAGGTGCACAGGGAGCATGCTGTGTGCGCGTGACCTCTTATATAGCAGTGTGTTTGTGTGTGTGTCACTACTCACTATTACTGGTTCTAACCAACCGCCCATGTCGCATAGCTAGCCAATTATGTAATGCAAGTGTACAAAGGCTGTGGGCTAGGGCAGCCAGCCACAGTGTTTAATACGTTATCATCTGACGAGACTGCTTGTCATGGCGCCCTAAAAAACCACACACGCACACAAAATAATAATCTAATTGTCATTTTCATGATGTGTGGAAATGTAGAATGGATCTTTCTTGTCTGCACCTGCTCTCGGACTGCTCTGGCCTAGTTGATGTCCTTAGCGGTGTACTGAACTAGTAGCTACTTCCATATAGTATGAGCTACATTAGAACATTCAGTTTATAGATGAGGTTGCTGATCGAACTTTGGTTCGAATCAGTGTGCCCTCCACAGTTTCGCGCATAGTTAATTCGACAAAATGCAGAATACACTAGTAATATTAGGATCTCAACAGCAAAACACCTGTAAGTCTTACCGATCCAGGCGTACTTCGTTATATGCAAGGGACACCTGAATTTCTGGACATCTGCACTCGTCTCATCTCTCCTCTTATGCGCCAAGGTCCTTCTGGAACCTGAGGTTGAAATGGCAATGATCTGGACAAGCAGTTGTTTGTGGTGGCCATGAGAGTTTTGTGTTTATGTTGATTGATGTGTCTACCAAAAAATTTGCAAGTTGTAGTCCTGATAAAAGTACCTGGGGCCAACAATGTGCCATACATCCACTTGCATGTCAGTTTTCAATCACGTTTTGTCCGTAGCTTTATTGCAAATTATTTGGAGAAACAAGTGCTTTACTAGTTTTTTTTTGAGAAAAATTACTAATCAGGAAAAAATATATAAAAAGACAAATACACACCGGCTTAGTGCAGAGGTATTCATTAAAAAACAAGCAGAAAGGACCAGCCAAAATTTGTAGAAGCAGATTATTTTGTGTAGCTATTAGATTCGCATAAGCCTGCGAGATCTGCGGGTCTATCAATAATAAGCCAACATAATGCAGAAGATTACAACACTTGCATAAGCCCATGGGTGCGCACATGTTGCTTGTCTAAGCTTTAGAGGCTAAAGCTTATTGGGCATAAAGGCACAACCTCACAACAATCAAACAACCAAATCAGTAACGAAAATGCTTCTCAGAACCAGCAAAATGCTGATTATCTAAGGCTGCTCAGGGGGAAGTTGCGCAACGGGTTCTCCTTAAGCAATTCAGTTTCCCTGTTTCAAAGAAAAGAGCACAGGTTAGGGAACTGCTGAAAATAGTTCCCCTAAAAACTGAAGCTGCAAGAGCTATGCTATACTTACTTCTTAAGGCTTTTGCTTGTTGCTTGCCTGAGCTTCAGAACAGAAGGTTTTGGGCTCTTTGGCACCGGCCGAGCAGGTTCCCTATAGCAATAGAAAGGATATAATTATTTAGAAATATATGTTTGTAATGACTTTGAACAATCCTCCAAAAAACTGTAACAGTAGGATGTTAAATAACATACTGTGCAGTGCCTTCCTCCACGAAGACCTCAATAGAACTGGTTCGGGTTGACTGAACTGCTCCTCTTGCTCCTATCTTTCGTGGAATCTGTACAGCAGTGCGATATTACCACAAGTTCATTACTCAATAGTTGTCCTCGATACAAGTTTCACATGGGTCACTTCAAAGAATCCTAGTGGCCTGGCAAAAGTACCTTGTGAGACGTCCATTTAGTGGGCATCATGCTATTTTCCTTGTTCCGATCTGCTTGTGTTGGGAGGGTGCGCCAGCTTGTGTTATTTTCTTTGTTCCTCACTCCATCAAGGCCCTGATTTGGTAATGGCCTCTCCTCTTTGTAAACTGAAAGCGGCCTGTTAGCATCGATTCTGCAAGTGTGCAAAAGCATATAATCAGTGACATTACGAGAAAAAACTCCAGGTGTAGATGGATACTTTACATCTGTTGCATCATAGTTGTACTGACCTCTGCAGTGCCCTTGGTCTCCCCAGTTGGGAGTTCCCTGCTTGCTGATTTCCTGCCATGTTTGCATATGTATTAGGTTGCAACCGAAGTTCATGCTAAATCAGAGTAAAACTGAACAAACTTACTGTTTTCATCTCGTTTCAAGTTAGTCCCGAAACTGCGTTTTGGCAGATCATCATCTGCTGTATTATCCGGCTATAGAAAAAAGAAAGGATTCATTCAATGGAGATATTGGTTCCAAGATAAACACTGCTATCATTTAAATAGCAAACCTCTTGTTCCCTCTTTTTGGTTGATCTTCGAAGAAATGTCCTGTATACAGCTTCCAACTTCTCCAGGGGCTTCGCTTTTCTGACAAGGAAAAACTGAATATAAGAAACGTTATCCATTCACATGAAGTAATCAAGTATTAAAACCAATACACAACTAACCATAACCAAAGAGGTAAGAAGAAACCATGATAAGTAAAACAATTCCGAGTGTTGTTATCATTCACAAGAAGATAGTGGCATAACTAGTCAAAGGAGTGTCATATCTTAAAGAATAGGAACTCGAAGACTCCAAGAAACTTTTAGCATTTTACGTTTGCTAACTAGAAACTAAAAGGAACTATTTGTTTCTAATTCGTGAGCATGTATCAAATTAGAAGTGATCATGGAAAACTAAGTACCCTGCTAGATATCTTCATGAGTGCCCGATTCAAGTTAATACAAATAAAAACAACAAAGAAGGCAAACTGATTCAGTATAACATCAGCCTCATTGTTTGTACTATCCTTGACTCTTGTTCTGTACGAAAATCAAACACAGGAGAAATATGTTTTTCCCAAGGATATGTACGGTATGTCATTATAGGGCAAAATTTTTGGATGGAATAGATAGCATAACAGCATGATCTACGGAGCAATTTCAAATTGAAGAGCTTTATATGAACAAACAAGTTTTGGCCTCGTGGAAATCTCACCTAGCTATACCAAGGTCAAAGATCTCATTAGCTTTCCTCAACTTGTTCTTTGACTCCATCAACGATGCGTAAGCCATGTAGTAGATGGCATGGCCCTGCCCAATCTGGTTGGCCTCCAGGAACCTGTATATCACCTCTGCATCAGCACAATTCCCAGCCTGCAATAAGAACACGATCAACAGTGGAATGATATGTGAGATGCCTCCACTGCACAGACGAAAGCTACAGGAAAAAATCAAGCTGGCATCGCACGACTCACGTATTCCAGCCACACTTTGAGGAAGCGGAGGTCGTCCTTGTAGCGCTCGTCGTGCCATAAGGTCCGCACGCACTGCTCGTACAACACCACCAACCCCGAGCACTCGCCGCCGGTCGGGAATGACTCCTGGACCCATTTGATGCAGCTGCACGCGGACGAAGCAGAGAAGAAATTATCAATCTTTCGGCTAGAGCAGCTACCACGAACCAAGAAATCGAAAGAGGCGAGTTAAAGGGGCTTCGAGAAACGCTTACTCCAGCCACGGTTGGAGCGGATCCTCGCCTTGGTACTCGTCGATTGCTTCAATCATCTTCCTGGATCAGGCAAATCAACCGAACGATGAATACACAAGATAGATTGCATTACTGCAGCAACTTGTCTCCTCCCCAGAGGCCCAGATCAAGAAATTCAGACCAAACAAAACCACAACTTTTTTTTCCCCAATTGCTGGGAGAAAGGGTGGAGAAGGCAACGTACTTGCGGGCTTCGAGTAGAGCGGCGCGCTGGGCGGGATCGGCGTGTGCCTTGAGCGCTTGGTTGAGTTTGGCCACGTCGCGCCCGCGCTTGAGCGGCCGCACGTTCTCCTTGAACGTCTCCCACTCGGCGCCCACAGCCACCGGCGCCGCGGTGGCGGCGCTGCTGATCCCCATCAGCGCCAGCGTCTCCTCGTCGAGCGCCGCCACCATATCTTCCGCCGCCTCCGCAGTCGCCGCCGCCGCCATGTGAGGTGGGTGTGTGGGTGTCGTCGCACCGGCTGCAATTTGAATTCGAGGGGATCGGACCGTTGCGTTTGGAGCGGCTGCTGCTGCAGGTCAGGTTTTAAACGGCGAGGGTTTGCGAAAAGTTTGGGCCGTGGGCTTTCCGTTACTCCGATCTGTCATTTGTTTGGGCTGGTTTGTACCCAAAACAGCCCAGCTAAATTTTGGCCCAGGTTTTGCTTGACTGGAACAAACTTCACTAGCAAAAAATTTGGCAACAATGCAAAGGAGGTCTAAAATTACTCCACCAAGTGCGTATTTTTAAGCTACCACAACGTTGTCAAGAGAAAAATCATTCAGTTTGAGGGCCCCGTTTTTTTTTTGGGGTAACATATGCATATACTCTCGTTTCTCTGGGAATACATCCATTAGATCTTCTCATCCTGAGCTAACAGGTTTATTGAACATAAAAACATTCATCAGGGACCATCTGTACATTTTGTGTGCTCAGTTATTGTGCTAAACTTAAACATTACCCATACCACTGAGAATATCTGTTCTTCATGGCCGCACTAACCATCCCATCACTAATTGATACAAATTATCCCATGCTCACCCATCCAAATTTTCGCTTATTCACCGCAAACACAGCTTATGACAGTAACCAAAGCCATGTTATTTCCTCGTAGGCACCACCACCCATGAAGTATGAAAACAAGTGCATCATTCCTGTTACAGATCATGAGCTCAACTTCAGGTAAAGCCACGGCTTCATACGCACCAAACTAATTTCGCAACTAAATTTTCTTCTGATTCTTCATACTTTACACAAAACATTAAGAAGTTGCCGACCCTGCAAACATTCAAGAGAGTTTTTTATTCGCCGATGCCCGATATAACAGGTTTAAGCTGGTTCTACACACTGTTTAAACCCAGAAAGTATAACAGCTACTAGTTGCAGAATTACACTGAACAACAACGATTATACTTAAACCAAAACACCTCACGGCCTACGCTGAGACTGCAGCTGGGATGGCTCGACAAGACCTTCCAAGACAACAAGCTGATCAAGCAGTGCAAGCTTTTCATCCTCTAGGGCCTTCATTTCTTCCTCTTCCATGCTCAGTTCTTTGTCCAGTGCAAAGTTCTCTTCCTCCAGCATCAGGTACTTCCTCCGTAACGCCCGGTATTCATCGGTAGGACCAGATTCCGGCAGGGAATCTGGAGTCCCTCTGTCAGAAGGGGACGTGTGAGGTTCAACCTTCAAGCTTCTTTTGGGTGGCTTTTGGACCATGCCTGATGACTGTGGAACCTCTCTCCTCAGCAGTTCAGGTTCACCCTTGAGCTGGCCTGATGGCAGTGGCCGGTAGACAACCTTCTTATGCAACTTCGGCGCTGAGAAATCATCATCCCTTGGGTCTTGCATTCTCTCAGGCAAAGCCTTGGCCTTCCCTGTTGAAACACAATTAAAGCGAGCCAAATTTACTAAAGTGGTAACATAACATGTTAAATACCATCACCAACAGATACGCGGACACACTTACTATTTTCAAAACATCAATTAGTATGGCACATATAAACTATAATAGCAGGAATAAGTTACCTTTTAATAAATGTAACAGATACAATTTTGGATCCTTATACAGTAATATGGATTGAGTGGCATAACTTGTGGACAATCTGATCTACTCTTGTCCCAAGCAGACAATCTGATCTACTCTTCTCCCAAGCAGAAGTAGCAACAGAGCACATGGCACAGCAGACCAAAGTACACGCCCATCATATGTAACAAGCAGTCTAAGCACAATGCAAACTAATTTCTTCTAAAAAGAACACAGAGTATAGTACGCAGCACATCATAGCAGTCAGTTCCCAGCGTTAACCCGAGTAGCTACAGCAGAGGTGGGGGACTGGGAGAGTAAAGATTTTGTTGGTCCTGGGCTCCTGGCAGCAGCAGATTGGGAGGGGATGGAACATGACGCACAGCAGTGGATGCGAATTGGATCAACAGAACAGGGGGAGCATGGCCGATTGGCAGATACGCATGGGATTAGAGCAAGGTGGGAGGGTGAATCAGAAGAGCAGATGGATGGGAGAGGCAAGATGGAGCCGTTGAGCCACCGGTTCCAGGTACTGCCTATCTGCCCCTCTTTCCTGGCTCTTTGCGCGAAGGGAAGGGAAGAAATCAGAACGTGTTAGGGATGAAAGCGGAGGAATTGAACACACCTCACCGTCGCCGACGACTTGCCGCTGGTTTCTGCTGCCAGAGTCAGGGCGATAGGGAGGCGGCACTGCTGTTGTGACGGCCGGCGACGGATAGGGCATGGAACGACCCGACGTGCCGATGCCCATGCCTGATGCATCGCCGTTCTGGGCTGGGCCAGTTGTATCTACACGTGTCGGCCAAAATATACCTCATGGGTTTCCATTGCATATCCACTTAGTACCCGTATAAGATATGTATCCATGCGGCGGGATACGGCCCCTTAGTGGCATATACTGTTTGGGAAACAGATAATATGAATGAACGGACACAACTACTATTACTTGATATGTCAGTAACTGGGATAAGCCTGCAGTAACCCAGGTTGGCCTTAACCAAACTCCGCCCCTGAATATGCAGTCTATTTCTGTCATCAGGTGCATGTGAATGAAACCACACAACAATAACATCATTCCCTAAATCCCTTCCAAGAGAAGAAATAATTTGGCCAGAACCTTGTTTCCCTGGTCAATCTGACAAATGCTGTGAGACTGGGAGCATCTGCAAAATTTGGAAAATTAACTGCGCCCAAATGGCCAAACCTCAGTTGGGTACTAAGAACTGCTGTGGTGCCGACAAAGAATACCCTAGCCTAATTCAACCATGAATGGATTGACCAGATAAGTAGGGCACCACGCAGCACATACACATAAAACCACAACTCAACAAGCTAGGGTTTATGCACCAACGAACGAAGCAACCAAAACGTACCCAGGTAGATCTCCAATCCACTTTACCGGACAGATGATCGGTGACCTCCTAGCACGCCACCGGCAGCGGATTAGGATTTTTCTATGGGGTATGCAGGATCAAAATTTTCATATGCAATCTAGTAAAATGCATTTAGCAATTTGTAACTGCTAAAGTACCATAAAAATTGCTCCACAATTGGTATACAAATACTAAATATCACAATAATAAGTCTTAAATTACAATACAAACAGTTGAAACATCGTACTAATATAATTTAAAACATACATGATAGAAGCTTCTACAATCAAATCAAAGCATATAATTCATATAAGTAATTAACCAATACATCCTGCTAATTGTACTGCCTACACGGCTACATCCGTAAGATGCATCAAATTAGATAAGAGAGAGGAAAGTTAGGGTTAGGGATTTAGGGGTCCTTGCAAGAAGGAAGGAAATGGACGGGAATAGGCTTCTCAATTCTCTTCCTCGATTCCTCTCTGTGTTGGGCACGCGGGCGTCAGGGGCGCCGGGCGGTGCTGTGCTGTGTGGAGGGCTGGAGGTGGAGAATGGACTAAATAGCCGATACGAGAAGAAATCGACTGTTAAGGACTGTGATGTTCGTGGGTCATGATTGATTTATGATAACAAGTACAATGCACCTAGATATAAGTAACATCATCGGCTAGATGGATATAACCAGTGTAAAGCATTGAGCCGATAAGTTTAACGAGGAAAGATATAACATGCGAACAAATCGACTTTCTAGTACAAACAAATCTACAAACGCTCTGAATCTAATTTGTTACCATCAACAGTGAGGTTCGACCAGATCGATACAGCTATGATAATGATAACAAATTAAAGCCAAAGAATCCATAAAACCGTCTATATATTGACAGGTTCATGAAAAAATAATGTGTGAAGGCACAGGCGAATCGGCTAAAATAGCCGATGCATGCATAGCAAACAAACAGAGTACATATCTCAATCACAAACAAAACCACTAATCGATAATCTCTAATCTAAAGTCTTACTAGTGAGATTTGACCGGATTGATGCGGCTATGGTGGTGTCATTAGATTAGATCTCATTAACTAGTGAGTTCATCCAAGATCGAAAACATGTCTTTGAATGCATACTATGCTTGATTGGAATAGAGGTAAAACAACCGATCTAGCAGAATTAAGTCATCAATTATGAGATTCAAAGTGGGATCAGACTAGAAGACAGCCAATTATGATGATATAATGCCGATCTATCTCTATCTCAATCAGATGATTTGTTATAATTAATGGAACATTAATTATAACAAGATCAATAATTGATGAATCAACCAAGAACAGCCAGAAAAATCTTACTAATCTTAGAAGATTCAATAACTGGTGATATTGTATTAAACAAATTATTTAACATAAGATCGATAACTTTGATCTATATTATGATCCGTAAGAGATCAATCAGCTGATGTAGCCTTATGAATAATGATATAGATCGATAACTAACTTATACTATACTAGTAAAAGATCAATCGGCTGATGCAGCTTTACAAGCATAATATAAGTCGTGATGGTACTCACAGACAAGCTGAAGGTCAATCAGTCGATGCAGCCCTGCTTGTTGAAGAACTCGTCGAGATCTACAGTACTCCTACTCCTAAGGATGGCGTGAAGCCAAAAAAGGTAATTGTATTGGATGGTTGTTTGTCCCTTTACAATAACCGGGGTCCAATATTTATACCCGAAACCTAAATCATGAATCTTACTCAAATACGACTCATTACAATTCTTAGAACAAAAGAAAACATTCCTAACTTAAAAATAACTTTGGACTCTAATCTTTTCCTTTTTATAGAGTCCGACATATTTTTCCCCGACGCCATCCATACGTAGTCCATTGACATCGTTTGCTGACATCATTTATAAAATAGCCGATTTCGACAATGCATCAAAACTTGCCGATATCGATTCACATCTGATCGATTCCTTGATGATACAATCTTAGAAGCTTTGAGTTCCCGCTTTCTTCTTTCCAGATTTTGATGTAAACACATGCCCCCCAATTTTAAGATAAAAATGGTTTTATTCCAAAATTTCTATTTACCTGCTCACCGTGTCGCAACCGTTTATTCTGAAATATATGCGTGACTCCTGATTTCTCGATCTGAATTTTATATAATACTCCAACAGTATCATTTCCAACTCATTCAGCCTATTCGCTTTCCTCTTCTTTCTCGAGCAAGCCTCAACAACCAAAGCTGCTATCGCTAAGGCCTTAACCCTAGCAAATCTTCTACTCTATCAAGCTATTATTCAAGTAATCTTTCTCAGACTCAGATCCATCTTGGCTGCAATGGTGACCAGCTGACCACGTCCCTAAAGTATGCTTTCAAGTTCCTATCTTCCAAATATTAGCCGTTACCTTGTATTTCCTTTCTTCTCAAATTTATTCTATCTAGTTCCTAGGAAATAAGGAACAAAATTTTGATTCCATCGGCTGTTGTTCCCAATGTCTATTATCTTGGGTCTATGGGTGACCCTGATCCATCTAACTTTATCAGACAAAAAACCAACCGAATCCCCTTCAAACAATCTGCAGTAGATTTTTCCTTCTGGAACATCAAAACTCCCTTTAGAAACTGGCCCAAAATACCTAAGGGATGGAGAGATTGGTTTCATAGAGTGTCGGAGGAAAAAGCTAGAGATTGGGAGATTTATGACTTGAATCAATGCTCTCACTGTCTCGAATGGAGAGGAATGATTCACTTCTGATTTCTACATCTTACTTCTGGTCGAACACCTTAAATGCTTTCGTTTTTTGTCATGGCCCAATGACCATTACTTTGGCCGATGTTCATATATTGACCGGCCTTAGAATAACAGGATCAATGCAACCTTATGACTTCTTAAGTGTCGGATCCAAGAAATTAGCCAAAATATTAGACTGCACAGGATGGGTAAGCTACATTCTAAACCATATTGGAGACAGATCAACTGTGGCCCAAAGGGAACATGTAGCTTTTTTGAACATGTGGCTGGAAAGATTCATCTTTTGTGGATCATCTTGTGGTCCAACTTTCAATTATAAATACCTAGCAGAGCTTCTAGCATCTGGCAATGAAATCCCTCTTAGAAAATATCTGCTAGGATCTGCTTATCATCTAATGCACCAGGTAGCTGTCCAATTGCTAAAGAATGGACCAGTGCATACCATTAGTGGCCCTTGGTGGTTGATACAACTATGGCTGAACCTATATATGCACAAGATTGTAAGACCCGATCTCAGAAAATTAGGCTTTCCTTCTTCCAACTTTGCTGAAGATTACAAAGGAAAAGAAGGAAGAACTAGATAGTGCATGAATTATGGTGAGGCTGCATCAACCATAACAATTGCTATAGATGTAGGCCATCTCTTTAAGAAATTCTACAGAGGATTTGATGCAAACATCTTGACTTAGCTGCCTTATGATGAAGATGAAGACAATGAATTAGTTCTACTGATCTATTGTATCTCTTATCTCGGCTAGAGAGCCGATTCCAGACATCTGACCTTAATCCAATTAAGTCTGAAAACACGACCTCTACTAAGAAACTCCTCAATCTTCCGTCCTCAGTTATCAATGCTGTATTTTCTTTGGTATTAGTGGGGCGACGCTTTGCCTTCTATTAATTGCGGATGCCTTTTGCATATCTCAAGATATCTACTACCTCGCTTCGTGATTATAAATACCAGCCAAGGGCTCCGGCCTCAAACATATCTACACTTGCAACTATTTCTGTTTTCTCCACCTTCACAAACCCTATAGCAGTTCCCTTCTCCTTCTATGATCTAAACCATCACCCAATGGCAGGAGAGGATCACCGCGGCAAGCGCACAGCGGAAGATCTCCTGGAGGAGGAGGTCCCGGTCGGCCAGTGACTCCGCCGCCTGAGGTAAGACCGAATACTCCCGTCCATAGCAAGAATCATCCACTAATGCATCTGTAGGTTCGTCCTCATTGATAGACTTCCTACTCCTCCCGGGGCCGGCGAGCCTTCTGCCACCGCGTTTGCTGCTGCTATGCTGGATTCGTCATCGGACTCCTCTGACTCCTATAACGGCGACAATGCCCGGCGTTTCCTCCAGGAGTGGAGGGCGGCCCAGGACCGTTACACTAAGGCAACTCGAGAGAATAGTCAGCTTGAGATCCACCTCAGGGCCTCTTAAGCCGCCCTCCTCGCCACCGAGGAAGAGGCCAGCGCTGCTCAGGCGCAGTTGGCCGAGTCCGATGCCATGGTGGCGGGTTGAAAGCATCTAGGCCCCTAGTTGGGTTTCAGTGATTAATGACAATACGTGATTACTATGACTAATGTGTGCTTTGCAGAGGCGATTAAGTTAGGTCATGGTAATGGAGATC